AAAAAGAAATATGCATTGTGGATGTGGGCATGTATTTTTTTTTATGCTAAAACTATGCAAAATGCAACAAGTTAAGAAAAGATGAATTATGCTATGCTTTTAATGAAAATATGTTAAATTTATGGTTTATGAAAAAAAAAAATTAGTTTAGAAAATGCTTTTAAACCAAGAAATAAAGAGTAAAATGACATACATTAGCACATATATGTAGTCAGGGAGGACCTTGACCATTGATTTTGGAGGGCCAAATAATATCTTTTTAATAAATAATAAATAAATATAAAATGGTAAAAGAAGATGAAAGGGTAAGAGGATAAAATTGTAAATATATTAAATGATCATTAAGTTTGGAAGGCCAAAATCATAAATTATAGGGGAGTTACAAAACTGATGGGAGGGTGAGAGGATAAAATTGTCAATATATAAATAAATATATTAAATGATCATTAAGTTTGGAGAGCCAAAATCATAAATTATATGAGAGTTACAAAACTTCGGTGGAGCCACAACCCCCCTTAGTTCCCAAGAAGATTTGCCTCTGTATGTAATAGATATATCCGAAAACTTAAAATGTTTAATCGATGGCTTTTGCCTACTCCAAGCTTCAATTGGAGTATTATCTTGGATTGTCTAAGTTAGACATCAATTATGTATATAAACATCAATATAAAAAACTTTTGCCCAAAAAAGTATTAGGTAAACCTTTCTCCTTTGGCATTGATCTAGCCATCTCTATGACTGTACAATTCTTCTTTCTGATACACCTTTCTGTTGTAGTGATATGTAATTTTAAGTTATCTTTCTATTTCTTTATCTTTACAAACCTTGTCGAACTCGAGTGATTTATATTCTAAGCCTTGATCATTTCTTAAAACTTTTATATATCTTTCACTTGGTTTCTCAATGAGATCTTTGAACTTCATGAATATTCTAAAAACTTCTAATTTTTCTTTGATGAAGTAAACTCTAGGTCATTCTAGAGAAATCATCAATGAAATGGATAAATGATTTATTGTTGTTTAGTGAAGGTGTTCTCATTAGTCCACAAATGTTTGTATGGATTATATCCAACAAATCTTTTGCTCTTTATTCTTTATCGATTGAAAATAATAATTTATGTTCCTTCTAAAGAAGACATCCTTCCCAAGCTTCATTATTTCCTTTCATGTATGAAAGACCTCTCATCATATTCTTCTGATGTAATAACTTTAAAGCTTGGGTGTTGAAATGTCCAAACCTTCGATGACAAAGTCATCAATCATCAACTTAGACTTTGGCAATATTAGTAGTATATTTGAAGCTTATAGGAAAGTTGTTTTTTTCTCCATTTTTACTTCTCTTATCTATCGTCTTTTGTTATCATAGATTGGGTAATTATCTCCTTTGAAGTGAAAAGTATCATTTAGTTAATGCTCAAAATATCTTCTTTAAGATTAGGAATGAGCGAGACATCTTTAATAAGGCTCGTGCCTTTCTTTATCTCTATCGCAACACCGTTTCTATCTTTTTACTTTACTAGGGTGTCATTTGTCCTAATTGCACTTTGATAGAGTCATCAATGTCTCTAAAGACATTTTTTTCTTTAGTCATGTGATTACTACATCTGTTATCCAAGTACCAATTTCAACTTGTTTCATCACTGGAGTTCCAAGTTGTATAAAAAAGTTATTGTTGAAGGTCATGATCTTTAGAAAAATTTGTTTGATGCTTGTTTTTATTCTAACAATTCTTCTCCATGTGTCCAAACTTCTTACAGTGTTGGCATTATGATTTTTCGTGATGCCAACAATCTTTCTCCAAGTGACTTGACATTTTGTATATGCCATAGGGATGATATTTGTCTTAGCTGGATTTAGAAAATTTTCCTGAATTTTCTTTATTTCTAGATATTTCTTCAATTTTCTTTCCTGTAATTGCTTTATTTTTATACCATAATTTCACCTTTGATTGAAAGACATTTTTTATAGATTCATTATTATCTCTTATTAATTTTTTCTCATATGCTTTAAGAAAGCCTATTAGTTATGTCATCGATAAGGTAGACAAATCCTTAACTTGTTCAATTATTGTCACAATTTATCATATTTGTGGGGAATAAAAATTAGAATTTTCTCAACAATTTTCTTATAAAGTATATTTTCCTCACATGTTGTCATTGAGTGACTATCTCTTTTATTCTAATATAATAATCCTTAATGTTCTCATACTTCTTCATATTTAATAACTCAAACTCACCTCTTAGAGTTTGAAGTTTAATAGTGTTTACCTTTATACATCCTTGAAACTCCTCCTATAATATGCTCCATGTCTCTTTGGCACTTGTGACATATATTACTCTTAGAAAAATGACATCAAGCACGGCTTTGAGTTGTTTTGTTTGTTCTCCTTCAACTCTTTCTTTTGAGTCGTTGTTAATGTGGTAATGAAGCGGTCTTCTACAATCTCCCATAGATCTTGAGAGGAAAAAATATTTTCATTTTAATGTCCAAAAAGTCATAATTTTCTCTCTAAAGAGAGGCACAAGAATAGATAAAGAATTATTCACATTAGTTATTGGTTGAGATTAATATGAATCGTAGTAGGACTTTTGAGATAACTAGATATTATATTTACACCCAGTGGATAAATCAACGTAGCTTTGATACTACTGTTAGTATTTTATATGAATAAAAAAGATGATTTGTTATTTAGTAGTGAAGAGTTTAGAAAGAAAGTATAGTTCGAGATCTTGAAAAGTTAATGTAAAAGAGAATGTATTCATTTTTACATACATATTACACAAGTGACATTGCATATTTATAGGTTTGATTCACTACCTCTAAAGTAATCTATAATATTCTAGATAATTCTAATTTTTTTTAATTTTAGAATTATGATGAACTATAATTTTTAGAATACTTTTTTTCCTTACATACATTTTTAAAATGATTATATCCTATTTATAATTTTTTTATAATTTTCTTAATTCTTTATTAAATTTGTTTTCTAAATTATTCTAGAAATATATATCATCTATTTTAACAAAGGTAAAGGTCTATCTGGTTTCAAGTCAATTAAATCAATGCTCTCCATGATTTTGTTCTTTAAGCCTTTAAAAAGAAGACAAAATAGTGAGGTTCTATTTCAGTTCGTTGGTGAGAGCAAATGGCTTTGTGAAAAAGTGTTCATAGATTGTAGCTTATTAGCATAATTGTTTTTCTATAACAAATCTTGTGTTTCCCCTTTTGTATTATTTTTAGTTATGACAGATTCTTTCTTTATGTTCTAAATGGTTATATATATACCCTACTTGTACTCGTTTTTAGTGTGAGAAATTCTTAATAAAAATAAATGAATTTCATCGTACGTATATGAATAGTAAGATGGTATCAAATGTTATTTATTGATTTCTTCTCCATTCCTATGGCGTCTGAACCCTATACTGACTTTCAAACTAATCTCTAATCCCTTCTTTCTTCCTTCCAATGAAAACCCTACTCTCGTTCTTGTGTCCACCTTGTTGGATGACAAGAATTATCACGTCTGGGCCCGAGCCATACAACTTGTGCTCAAATCCAAGAATAAGCTGAAATTCTTCAATGACACTCTCTTTGAACCACCATCAACCAGCCCTCTTCATGAACCTTGGGATCATTGCAACACAATGATTATTTATTGGATCCAATGATTGGTACATGAAACCATTCTTAAATCCATTCCCTGAATCAAACATACTTTTGACATTTGACAAGTTTTGTACCACCGCTTTCATCAAGGAGATATTTTTTGTATTGTAGATTTACAAGAAGATTTATACAAACTACACCAAGTACTTTCTCTGTAATTGAATTTTACACAAAAATTACGTATATTTTAGGAGGAAATTGATAGTTTTCGTCCCTTTGTTGACTACACATGTACTATCAAATGTTTTCGTCCCTTTGTTAAATACATAAATTTAACTACATAAATTTGAGGGTGACCTTATTGCTGACTGTGGCTTTATTACTGACCATGAACATTGCCTCTGAACTTCCGCTCCGCTTCCAATTTTGCCCAACTCTGATCATTGAACCATGACCTAAACACCTATCCTTAGCCATTAGAAAGCCCAACTCCGATGACCTACAACTCAACCCAAAACCATGTGAACTTGAACGTCAACCCAATCCTCAGTTACCTCGAACCCAACCAAAACCCAAGTGATGTTGAACCGCGACCGCAACCTCAATATTAGCGAAGTTGAGACCCAAACCCAGCTCTGACGACATGGAACCCCAACTCTAACCCTAACCCTAACCCTCGTCACGACATACCTAAAGCAACTCGAACCCTGACCAAAATTTTAGTGTCGAACCTCCACCCTACAAGCCGAACCCCAACAACCTCAAACCCCAACCCAAGAGAGGTCGAAGTAGAACCATTACCTTGACGAACTGAAATCCTAACCCAACGACCTCAAATCCCATTCCAAAACCTCACAATCTCTACCCCGAAGATAGAAGTTCTGGAACACCATATCTCAAACTCCTGTGTGCTAGCGTCAATCTATAAACACGATACATGGTAGTTCTTTTTTTTTGTGTTGTTTATGCAACACTGGTACTATGGGAGCTAATTTCTTATTGTGGTTTCACTGTTACAAGATTACAATTTGGAAAGTTAAGTACTACCTCCTTTAGGTTGGTATTAATTTCTTCTTGTTTTTTTGTTTCGGTTGGTTATCATTCATTGAACTTAATCATTTATCATTGATGTTAACTAAAACGCTTATATGCTTGAAAATATTTTATAATAACTACTCTTGGTGATGGTTTCTATGAAATCGAAACCAATATTTTATAATTACCAACCTCGAGGATGGCTTCTATGAAATCGAAACCATACGCCATAAGAGGCTACGCAAGGTAACCAAACCAACTGATAATTATTACTTTTTTAATTTTATTTTACATTATAAATTTCTATTCTATTCTGCTTTTGACTTGTGACATTGAATGCTGCAAATGGGTTGCGATTCAATGGATATAATAGGGTTAGCTCCAGTACCTAATCAAATGGTGAGTTTTTACTTTACTTTACTTGTTTGAATAAAAATGGTAACGTGATAGGTGTGAATAATGACGTTTTCAAGGGGCATTTTGCTGTGTTTGGCAGGCGTGGATGGTCTGAGACTGCCAACACTTGGGAGGCTCTTGAAAATCTACAGTCTGTTCCTGATCTCCTTTATGCTTTTGAGGATAGGTAGTTCCTACCCCACTCCCCCTTCCCATCGTCACCTCCTCTATGTTGACAAACAAGTATCTAAATAAAGCACTCTGTATATTATCACTTGATATGTTTGCAATGAGTGATGCATGGTCAATTTATAGGTCTTTGGATATGGCCTCTCAACTACATGCATTTATTACAACTACTACCTTTCAACTACATACATACAATACAACCACTATCTCTCAACTACATACATTCAATACAACTCCTACCTCTCAACTACTACCTCTATAACCACTACCTCTCAACTACATGCATTTAATGTTTACCTAACAAAATCCCCCCATAAACTTAAATGCTTTTCTTATCCTTCATTCCAAGCATCTTCTTGTTGTTCTCGAACAGAGTGGTTGGCAGTGGCTTCGTGAACATATCTGCAGCTTGTGTTCGGGTTCCGACGTGCTCTAACTCCACATTTCCTTCTCTCACTTGTTCTCGGATGAAGTGAAACCGAACATCAATATGTTTGCTTCTCTCATGATTGACCGAGTTCTTTGCCAATTCAATGGCCGACTTGTTATCAACTTGAATCACAGTCCCTTTTTCTTGCTTCAACTCCAGCTTGCTTAGAAGGTTTCTAAGCCAAACTGCATGACAGACACTCCAGAATGTTGCAACGTACTCTGCTTCACAAGTTGACAATGTTACAATTGGCTGCTTTTTTGAAATCCAGGTGAATGCTGTGTTTCCCATGAAGAATACATATCCAGACGTGTTTTTCCGATCATCAACATTTCCACACCAGTCACTATCAGAGTAGCCTACTAGTCGATAATCATCCGTCCTAGTATACATTAGGCCAAGTGACACTGTTCCTCTCACATACCTTAGAATTCTCTTTAGTGCCTTCCAATGAGTATACCTTGGCTCCTCCATATATCGACTTGCTATTCCAACACTTAGCATTAAATCTAGTCTGGTATTTGTAAGATACCTAAGACTTCCAATCAGACTTCGGTATTTGCTCGCATCAACTCAATCTCCATCTGCATACTTAGAAAGTTTTGTACCAGGTTCCATAGGGATGGAAATCGGGTTGCAACTTGTCATCTTAAACTTCTTCAAGACCTCCTCAGCATACCTTTCTTGCAACACAAAGATGCCATCCTTTCCTTGAACAACTTCTAAGCCAAGAAAATACTTAATAAGACCCAAGTCAGTCATCTCAAACTCCTTCTTCATCACTTCTTTAAACTTTTCAATCAGCTCGGCATTATTCCCCATGAAGATAAGGTCATCAACATATAGGGCAACAAACATCACATCTTCTCTTTTCTTCTTTATGTATAAAGCATGTTCATAAGGACACTGCTCATATCCATTCCTTTTGAAGTAAGTGTCAATTCTTTCATTCCATGCTCATGGAGCTTGTTTCAAGCCATAAAGTGCCTTCTTCAATCTCAGCACTTTCTTCTCTTCGCCTCTTCGCATGTATCCGAGTGGCTGTTCAACATATACTTCCTCCTCCAAGATTCCATTCAGAAATGCCGACTTCACGTCCATCTTCAAGATTATCTATCTGTGTTGAGCTGCTAAGGAAATCAGCAGCCTAATTGTTTCCATTATCGTCACTGGGGCGAATACTTCGTCATAGTTTATTCCTTCCTTCTACTTGTACCCCTTCACTACGAGTCGAGCTTTATATCACTCAACTTCTCCTTCAGAATTTGTCTTCTTCTTGTACACCCACTTTACGCCGATAGGCCGCGCTCCTTTGGGCAAATCAGTCAGCTCCCATGTGTTGTTGCATTCTATTGCCCCGATCTCCTCATCCATTGCATTTTTCCACCTTTTCTCCTGCACGACCTCTTCAAAACTTAAATCTTCAGAATCTGCCAAGAGACATACAACATGCACTTCGTCAGTGGAGTTGTATATATCTTGTAAACTTCGCGCTCTGGGTTGTAGAGGTTCATCTTCTTCATCAGAAGTCTCATGATCTCTCACAGTATGTGGTGTATCAACTTCCGAGCTTCTACTTCCTATGGACTCCTTCTCCGGATTGTTCCAACTCCACTCGCTTTCTTCATCAATTTGAACATCTCGGCTCATGATGACCTTCTTAGTTATTGGGTTAAACAACCTGTACGCCTTGGTTTTTTCATCATACCCAATAAACACATACTTTTTGCTTCTATCTTCGAGCTTGGTCCTCTGTTGGGTTGGAACATGACCATAAGCTATTCTACCGAACACTTTAAGGTGAGATACACTCAGTTTTCTTCCACTCCAGACTTCTTGCGGTGTCTTCTTGTTCAGCTTAGCATGTGGACATCTATTTTGCACATAGATGGCTTATTGCACTGCTTCTACCCAGAACTCCTTTGGCATGTTTTTGCTTCTCAACATTGTTCGAACCATGTCAAGAATGGTTCGATTCTTCCTCTCGGCAACTCCGTTTTGTTGGGGTCAGTATGGTGTTGTCAGAAATCTCCTTATCCCTTGCTCCTCGCAATACTTCATGAGTTTGGATGAAATGAACTCGCCTCCTCGATCAAACCTAACAGATTTGATAGGCATGCCAGTCTCTTTCTCAACCATTGCTTTAAATCTCTTGAACACCTCGAACACCTCGGATTTCTCCTTCAAAAAATATACCTAGGTTTTTCTTGAAAAATCATCTATAAAAGAAATGAAATACCTTTTCCCACTGAAGGACTCATGGGTAACCGGTCCACAAAGATCTGTGTGAATCAATCCGAGTTGTTCCTTCGCACGGTACTCGGGCGTCCTCGGAAATGAGGTCCTCGGATGCTTCCCGAGCACACACTCTTCACAAAATTTCTTTTCAAATTTCATATACGGGAGTCCTCGCACCATCTCTTTCTTTACCAACTCGGTCAGCATGCCAAAATGCAAGTGGCCAAACCGAAAGTGCCACATCATTACTTCATCCTTCACGTCAAGTTTCAAGCACCTCTCTTGGACTATATTCAAGTCCAGCTTGCACATTCTGTTCTTCTTCATTTCAACTCAAGAAATCAAATGATCTGACTTATCCTTAAGGTATAGTACTCGGTCTTTCATCAGAACTGAGTAGCCTTTCTCCATCAGCTGACCCATGCTCAATATGTTGCTTTTGAGATCGGGTACATAGTACACGTCTCTGATTTCTCCACCTCGGTTATTCTTCTACAGGTACTAGATTGTACCTCTGCCTTTTACTACCACCTTTGATGCATCTCCAAATGACACGTGTCCGGCCTCAACTTTAGTGAGCTCCTTAAAAAGGTTCTCGTCCCCACACATGTGGTTACTTGCTCCTGTATCAAGATACCAAACCGAGTTGTCAGAACAACTCGGACTTAGCTCGACATCCGAACTTCTCGACATCATCAATACTCTTTCTTCCTCAGTGTCCTCAGAGAGGAGGTTTGTCTTCTTCTTCCTCTCAGATCGGCAGTCCTTCGCAAAGTGTCCAACCTTCCCACAATTATAACATTTGATACCTGAATAGCAGTCCTTAGCAAAATGACCGTACTTCCCACATTTGAAGCACTAAACTCCAGAATTGCTTGACTGAACACCTAGGCCTCTACCGTCACGACCTCTACCTTGTCTTCAGCCACGCCAGTTTTGTTGACTGACTTGTTCCTTGCCTCTTTCATATTCTCCTCTGTCTCTACCACCTCGACCTTGAGTGTTCTGAGCATAAGGAACCTTCTTCTCCTTTAAGGTTGCCTTTGCTTGGAGTGCTTGATCAAGGGACTCCTCTTTCTTCTTCCTTCTCCGCTGCTCATGCGCTTCAAGCGACCCGTCAAACTCTTCCACCGAAAGCACTGACAAGTCCTTGGACTCTTCTATTGCACAAACGATATTCTCAAAGTCGTCAATTAACGACCTTAAGATTTTCTCCACCACTCGGCAAGTGGGTAGCGTCTCTCCATTTCTGCCGAGTTGATTCACCACGGTCTCAACACGGGAGATGTACTCGGCAACCCCTTCGACCTCTTTCATCCTCATGCTTTCAAGCTCGCCTCTAAGAGTTTGAAGCCTGACTTGCTTCACGCGATTATCCCCTTTATATGCCTTCTCCAGAATATCCCACGCTTCTTTTGAAGATTTAACATTTGCTATCTTCTCAAAGCCGGACTCATCAACAGCTCGGTACAGTACGTACAAAAGCGTTTTGTCCTGTACTCATGTTGCTCTCAATGCAGCAAGCTGGGCAATCGTCTGCTCTTCAATATTCTCTGGTTCTTGGTGCCCATTTTTGACCACATCCCATACTTCCTGGGAACCAAGGAGAGCCTTCATTTGCAGGCTCCAGTTATCATAGCTTACGCCTTTCGATAACTTTGGCAGGGGCATGCTGTTAGCTAAGTTGGCCATCTCGAACAAACTCTCTAACTCTCAAACACTCTCTCTAACGCACTCAGACACTCAAGCTCTCAAGCTCTGATGCCAATTTGTTGACAAACAAGTATCTAAATAAAGCACTCTGTATATTATCACTTGATATGTTTGCAATGAGTGATGCATGGTCAATTTATAGGTCTTTGGATATGGCCTCTCAACTACATGCATTTATTACAACTACTACCTTTCAACTACATACATTCAATACAACCACTATCTCTCAACTACATACATTCAATACAACTACTACCTCTCAACTACTACCTCTATAACTACTACCTCTCAACTACATGCATTTAATGTTTACCTAACACTCTACCCTTCGCATATACATGTGTTTCCCATTTCTTACATTTCTTCAATCTTTTCAAGTCTCAAATCAGGAAAACTTCTCAAGCTCAAGCGCAAGCCTGTCGTTCATCACGCCCAAATCAAGAAGCACTCCCAACATTCTACCACTTCTTACCACCTTAGACATTTTCCAACTCACAACCCCCATCCTCAAGCACCCATCTTTTATAAGAAAACCTGTTGCTGTTAAAATCATTTCCAAGGCGAAGGTACAATTACAATCCAAAGTCTTTTCATATTTTGCTAATTTGTTTTGAGATATTTGAGTTTGTTGGTTTTACTTGTGGTTCAATTTTTCTATGGTAATTTTTGTTTTCTTCGTCATTATGTTCTTTAGTCTTGTTGACTGTGTGTGTGTCTTTCTTTTTTGTCATTATGAATTATTATGGCATTTGGATTTTGGACAATTCGGGGTTGATCTCTGTTGTTTGATTGAATGCTCTGCGAGATTTTGTAAGTGGGACTAGCGAATAATTGGGAATTTGTCTGACACAGCTTTTTACGGATTGGGGCTCTGAGATTTTGTAGTTTGTACTTAGAAATGTTACCCGACAAATACATGGTTCTGGGACATTGTCTTGTTTTCTTTGTTTTGTAGCTTCATCTCAGAATTTCAACATCACTGTCCTATGGTCAGAATCATTTGGATTTTACCGAATGAACTGTAAAATTTAAAAGAAAAAACTATATGTAGTTGGAATTGACATGACAGTTAACTTGGTCTTACCTTGTTGTCAACTATAAGGTTACATGGCATTTCTTAACTTGCCTGGCTCAACCATGTGGTAGTACATGTAAAAATGATATTTGGAAAATTGGTACTGTAAACCAAGGTGGTAAAGAATGATCTCTTGGTTTGAGTGTTCTAGAATAAGTTGTTTGATAAGAAACACTATCATGTTAATGCAAGCAGCCTGCCCTTGTTACAGATGAATGGAAGTTTTGATCATATAGATTGTCTTCGCTAAATGTATGGTTAAATAATATCCATTTTAATACTGCTGATTCTAACCGATGTTTGGAAGCTAAAATTGTTTTACATGTGTGAGGCATTGGCATATTAAAACACTTCATTCTCATTGTTTGAGTGTGCTAGAATAAGTTGTTTGATAAGAAACACTTACATGTTGATGAGCTTGCCCTTGATTTATAAGTTGTTTGCCCTAGGAGAAATAAGAAAATAACAAGCCATAATTAATACATAATAGTGACGTTATATGATATATAGTAGGACAATTATGTGTAATAATAGAGAAGTTATATAGCAGTTCTCTAATTGTATGTGCAGGCTATGATGGTGTGACACAACCCTTTACAGGGGCTTGGGACAGTCAATGAAGCCATGCCCCACAAACTCAAAAGACCTTGAGTATAGATCGTCCTGCCGATATGATATGTGGGGGATTGATAGACCCATCTCCGGTAGAATAAGTAGGAATTTTGAGATTTGGGGTTGTGGGATAATTAGATTTAAAGCATGCTGCCTGGACATAAAAATAGGTGTTGTTGAGAGGGAGGTTTATCTTGTAATTTGATAGGAATCTAGATTGATGTGGAGGGTCCAGTTTATTCATCCAGTTTTTGTTCCCATTTCTTTTTATTCTGATCCAGTTTCTGTTAGTGGGGTCACATTTTGAATTTTAAAATGGTTTTTAGGAAGTCACGTGTAACAAGTCCCACATTGGGGAGGTCTCCTTACCAGGGAGGCCTTATAAGGTAGGAGGTTCTCCAATCTCTTGAGCTAGCTTTTGAGGGATGGTTCCCCTCTTAGCCTTATGGTTGTTACATCACATCCCATGATTTTGATATAGATTTTACTCTCCTCCATTGCATCAGTTTTATTTATATATGATTATATCAATATATGCTTTTAGAAATTCATTTTGTGTGTACAGAGTGATGCTTAAATGGAAAAGTGGTGTTGCCTGCTTTTCTTGTGTTTTGTTTTCCTCTTTCTTGATCTGTCTACTTCCAAGAATGTGAAAGGGTGGAGTTTCTGTGTTTTGTGTTCTGCTTTTCTTCAGTCAAATCCAATTTTAATTTATTTGAAATGCAAAAAGGGTGCAGTTTCTAGTTACATTCATCCATTCATCAACAAGAAATTGCTGCAGATTTGTGATGGACTTCCCGCAGAGAATGTTACATGTGAAGATTTGTCATCTACAAACTCTGGAGCATCTGCTATCAATTTCTGGGAGAAGACTAATATTGGAGCAGAATGTGCTCTATGTGGCGCTACTGCTAGTGCTTTTAGGAAGTCTTCTGATGGTCAATGTGTTCATGCTCTCTGTTCCATTCATTGACTACCTCTAGCTACTTAAATGTCTTGGTAGTGATGAAGGCCATGTTTTGAATTTTATAATGGAACATAATAAAGTAATATTTATTTTTGTTTCTCAAGTCTAAAACGTGTATATCATTTATTTGTTTTTAACAAGTCCTACAAAATGTGGAGAACATGACTTGCTCCTATATTTACGGGTGCTTTGTGGACTACTATATAAACAAGATGACAATTTTCTCCACTATTTTTTTTTTGTTATTGTGGTAATTAAGTATTCTGCCATTTTTGTCTCCAAAACTCTATCTCGGATGTCTTAACAAATGTTGGCTTCTTCTAGTTTCCCAAAGTTTATGCTATAAGCCTATAAACTATGATGCATGGATACGTTAGTAGTGTAATTTTGATATTTTTGATACAACATATGATGTATTTTATATTTCTTAATCAGATTTATTATTATTTTAAAAATAAATAAAATAAAATAAAATTAGTGACCAATATAATGACTGATTTGGTCATATATTTGGTTATAAAATTGGTCACTGATTCGGTCATTGAATCGGTTATTGATTCAGTCACTAATTCGGTTACTGAATTGGTCACTGATTTGGTCACTAAATCGGTCGGTTACTGAATCGGTCACTAAATTTGTCACTGAATTGGTCACTAAATTTGTCACTGAATCGGTCATTGATTTGATCATTGAATCGGTCACTGATTCGGTCACTGAATCGATCACTGAATCGGTCACTGAATTGGTCACTAAAATCAGTGACCAAGGAAATAGTGACCGATTCCAGTTGGTCACTATTTTAGTTAGTGACCAATTTTGGTCATTTAGTGACCGAATTTTCAGTTACTATTTGGTGTTTTTCTTGTAGTGTTCCACTCTTCCTAAAATTCCTAAAATATTAACCTTTCTTAAAAGTGACACATATATGATAACGGTTCCACTTTAACCGCTCTTAAAAGTGAACATATAATAGCGGTTCCACGTTAACCGCTATCTAAAAGTATATGATCGATTGGTTCAAATTATAATCGATTATAAATTTCTTCGCTCAAGCGATGGATGTCTCGCTTGAGCGAGAATTGACCACGGTCCAACGCAGTTACCCAATCAATTCTTGCTCGAGAGAAGTAACTCATCGCTTGAGCGAGAATTGACCACAGGTTAAACGTCCAACGCAGTTAGCCACATAACGCAACTTGGGTCACCACATATTTTAATCACTTCTCGCTCAAGCGAAAATACCCGTCGCTTGAGCGAGAATTGACCCGAGATTACCCCTTTGTTACAGATTTTCTCGCTCAAGCAAAGGGTTTCTTCGCTTGAGCGAGAGTTGATTGCGCGAAATAATCGATCATAATATAAAATAATCGATTATTTTAATACGTGAACAATAAAAAGTGCTAGTTGTGTAAATAATGTTCCGGATGTGCTATTTTGAGAAATATTTTTAAAAATAGTATTATTTATGAAAAAAAGTCTACATTCTTATAATCTTTTTATCAAATCTTTGTTTTTGTTGAAGTTATCAGAGATTGTATTAAAGAATAGTTAAAAAATAATTTCGTACGAAATGATAATTGTTATGATAAAAAAAATATTTTATGAAAAAAGAATTTCAAATTTAAATATTTATTTATTTATTTCAAAAATTTTATAATATAATTGATTCTTCGACATCTAAAATGAAGAAATAAATAAGGAAAGAATAAAAAACAGTTGAAGTAATGAGATCACCAGAGGAAAAGAGTAATGAGATCACAAAGGTTTTCAGAGAAGCGTGGTAATATGACACATTTTATGTCTTAAAAATAATAATTGAATAGAAAAACAAAATAGTACTTTTCTCCTATCATCAGCCTACATGCCGGCAGAAGACGAGACAAAGTGGTTGATAGAAAAAGAAATAAATAAAAAGCTAAACTAATGATTCCAAATCTCATCCTCAAACCAGTTCAAGGATCGATGGGCTACGTAGCTGCATCTAAAAGGCAAGCAGTGCCAAATCGATTTAGTGTGTGTGTGTGTGTGTTTTTTCGGTATCCGCGTTAGCTAAAATGACATATTTACACACAAAGATGTAAATACAATAACACGTCTCTCTCAGAGCTGCTTAAACTTTAGCTTTGGTAAAGCTGGGGTCAAAAGGAACGGAAGTGGCAGGCAACCAGGTGCTAGCTTGGAGCCAGGGCTCAGCGGTGTATTTGGCAGCCTCTTCCCTGCTGATGATACCTTTTGCAAAGGATGCCCTTGATTTAGCATTTGAACCTGGTCCACTGTTGCCATACTCAACGAAGTAACAGTACTTGGTATTAGGCTCAAGATCGTTCCAAGGAATGTAGCCCTCAGGCTGGATCAAGTCACCGATCACATTCTCAATGAACACTGCCCTGGAGAATGCCTTCCATGGCCTGGCAAGGTATGTCTTCACGGTCAAGCGATCAGGGGACAATGTGGGGTCGGGCATGATATCACAGTTCTGGAGAACAATTCCTGTTGGCATGTTCTTCTGCTGTGTTCCATCTGCCACCACTATGTTCTGCTGGTTTACACCTGGCTTCCTCACCAAGATCTTCGAGTTCTGGATCAAGGTGGTAGCGTAGCCGAAGATGAAGTCGATTGTTCCAGAGATTTCGCAATTACGGTAGAACTGACGGTGGGCGTGTACGTACAATGTGTCTTGGTAACCGCGCATTGCACAATCAAAAAAGACTGAACGATCACCCTGCACACGAAGAGCCACTGCTTGGTGTCCTGCTGCTCCGGCGGTGTTCTCGAATGCAATAGACTTCGCCATGAAATCATCAGCAACGGTGGCTGCAAATTTTCAAAATATTAATAAACCAGAGATACACATGATAATTGATGTAGATTATGCAAATATTTACTTGTTTGGATGGAAGGAGAAGAAGTTGGACTTACAGAAGGTAGAGGTTCTCATGGTCTTGGTACCCTCGGCGAAGTTTTTGCGTCCGGTGATGATGGTCTTGGTGGGGCCATCGCCATAGATGAGAAGGTTCATCTTTTTCTTGTCAACAAGGATGTACTCGTCATAGACACCAGCCTTGACGTAGATGATGAATCTACCTTGGTGATTCTTCGGGTAGGAGTTGATAGCGTCCAAAATTGTTTTGAATTGGCCACTGCCATCCTTAGCCACTGTAGCATGGGGTGTAACTCCACCTTTGCTGTTACCAATATTAGCCAAGAGCTTACGATCAGCAGCGGAGACCCAAGTTGGGTATCCTTCTTGATCAATCTCGAGAAGGCGACGACGAGAGGCAGGTTTCAGAGCCAAGTTCAAGTCCAAGGATTGAAGAATCTTCGAAATCCCCGACACCATATCAAGTGCCAAGCCAGTGAGCTTTCCAACTTGGTCCAAGCTATCGGACTGTAACTGTTCCTGAACCTTCTTCTCGCCGTCGGTGTTGAACCCGTCGAGGCACGATTGCTGGTAGGCAACAACAGCACCTAGCCAATTCTTGATTTCGGAGGTGTGGTTGTTAACGGCGTCGATGTTGCTCTCTTGGACCAATACACCCGAGGCCTCCAGTTCGTGGATTGCGGATTGCAACAAGTCCTTGCAATCGTCGAGAGCCATCTTCATTCCTTCGCTGCTGTTGCCGTGTTCCACTGTCAGCCTGTCGCTCATGTTGAACGCTTTGATGACACTGTCCATCGAGGCTTTCACCACGCTGGCAATGTAATCCTTAGGGTCTGAGCTGTTTGTGGTGGAAAGCACACCGTGGCAATATTTTTGGTCATCTGAGTTTTGGCACAACGCTGTCACGGCCCTGTTCGTGGTTTTTACTTCTCCTGTTATGCTCGTCTCGTTCTTCGGGCTCTGAACTACAGCAACCACGCCAATGACCACACCCACACAAAGGATCAGAGAAACGCCGGCACCAATTATTTTCCCACTCATTTTTTTGTTGTTTTTTTGGGTTATAATCTTTTTGTGGGTTTTCTTTCTTTCCTCTCTTTTTTCTTTATCGGCCGATTCTCTCCTAATCTGACAACCAAATGTGAGAAGCCAAATCGGAGAGAAAAGGGTAATTCGGAAGGATGCTTTTCCTTCCCTGTTTATTATTATTGTTTGAGGAGAATGTAATGAGAAACCATGCAGAAATGGGGTTGTATTTATATGTCATTAAGAGCTCCTTCAAGGATGGAATTCAGCCATTGAACGTGTTACGTCGAAGCTTTGGGTTTTGTGGCTTTTGTGTGTTCCACCATAAATGGAACTCAACTATTGCCTAAATATGCTTCTTCCAGTTATTGACCTATTCCTATTATCAATTCACTTGGCGAAGAGAAAATATTGTTCAAAACTGACTCTTATTATCTATTTTCAAGTTTTTCTTACTACTTTTCCTTTCTTATTTCTTAAATTAATGTTTTTTTTCTACCTTTACCATGTTACTCCATTCATATAATTTTCTTCAAATATTTTTGTTACTTTCTTGGTAATTCAAGATTTATATCTGGTGATAGTGGTGTTTATTATTGTCGCTTCAAATTTTTCCATGCAATTGAAAAATCTCCATATGTCAAAGATCTTTAAAAACGTAAAATGTAGTACAGTTATTAAACTTAAAAAAAAAAAAAAAAAAGGTAAGATTTTTAATCTAGACAACACATGAGTGTAATGTACAATGAGTTAAAGATTTATCAAAGAAATAAATTTAAATATTTATATAGTTTATGATTTAATATTTTTTCTTATATTTTAAAATATTTCTTGATGAACTCATTAGGTTTAACGGGTGTAATCAAGTTCTAACTTAATTTAATAAAATAATATTTTTATAATATAATAAATATATAATAAATTTATTGTAATGATATTTTTTATAAAAAAAATAAGAATAAAAATTACTGGTTACTATAAGTTATATAATAAAAACTATAAATATAAAATATATAGAAAATGAAAGATTCATCATTAAAATAAAAATATAATAAAATAATTATTATTTAAAATTGACATAATACCATGTAAGAAAAAT